TGTGACACGAAAAAAAGGGGAAAATCGTGTTGGTGAACACGAATCAATAGATTAAATTAATTTCGTGACTATAACACGAAATGCTGTGAGACTGGGTTGTGTGTTAACCACAGACCTTATTTCAGGATAACAACCGAAAACATGTTCCAAAGAAAGGTTGACTTTAAGACGCTAAAATGCTAACTCATATCCAGGTTTGAGGACTCACTCCTGCAGCTCTCTATAGGGTGCAGCCTGTAAACATAAATCATACCTGCAAGAGACAGTAGGCGAAGACTCCTCATCCCAAACAAATGCTGCAGACCGAAATCTTGAACCTACACACACACACACACACACACACACACACACACACACACACACACACACACACACACACACACACACACACACACACACACACACACACACACACACACCATATGAGAACCCCAACTGTTTGTTTGACAACTTAAGAAGCAAAAACAAACGTATAACTTTGATATTAGTTCATCATTAATACTTTGAAGATTTATTGCAACAAATGTGTGCATGTTGTAAAATAATTTTTCAGAATCTTGTGGAGTCATAGTGACCATTATGATATCATGTGAGTTACCTGACAGCACCAGCGCAGATAGAGGCTCCTTAATGACGACATGGTGGACAGGTAGCCCAGCCCGGTGTCTGTGATCCGCACACACCTGAAAGTACACACAATACACACGTCATTATTGATTAATGAAATGAGACATAACACACACACACACACTATTTTAACAGACTGCATGTGCTCCAATTTGCAATTGTTGCTAACTTATACAGCATGTAAATATCAACGTACTCCACTCAGGACCATGTTCATTATCTACTGTACACCTGTACACCGACTCACTAAGGAGAAACATGTTATTTTCTTACACTTTTAAATGTTTTGCAACTTCCATAACTAGTCTTCTCTCAGATGAGCCAGAGTGAAACACTTTTGCCTGGTGTGTTCTTGAACAGGATTTGCTTTGGTCTTGTTCTAAAGTTGGTCCTGACAACAGCCCTGCACCAAACTAAACTCAACTTTTAAGGCTCACCCTGCTTAATGCAGCTCCAAATATATAGATTCACTGGCTCTAAAGCCGTCAAATATCCAAACTTGATGCAAGTGCAGAATGCTCTGAATATATTATGGCTTACTTTAATCAAATACTATTTTCACCAGAAAGCTTTCTTACTGTAAGGCATTGAGTTGACAGTCAATGCCTTTTATTAGAGAGTTAAAGGGGGACTCCTGTTACCCCTGTTAGTAATTATAAAAAAAAGAAAAAAAAGTCTTCTATTCAAGACTTTTACAGTTTGTGGCTTCTCACACCATTCTACACTAATAGCATTTAGAGTTACAGTTTTAGAATGTAAAGTTACAAGTGCAGAGTTTAAGCTTCGCCTTTCCGGCCAGAGGTTTGTTGTCCCAAAGTGTTGAACAAAGCGGTATAAAAACAGCTGTATTCTGGCAGCTATCGCACAAATGAACAAGTTGTAGCAGAGTCACACAGATGCCTATTTATTGATTTACTTCCTTGGAATGCTGATGTTTGTACTAGTGGTTTTTAAATGTGATTGAGCAGGGTGTTATTTTATAGAGATTTGTCTGTTGTTTGTGTTGTTTTAGAATGTGTGTCACAATGGATCCCTTTTCTTTTATCTGTAAACCAAATCTACCTATGGGTGCAAATAACTAATCCGAACCTGAGCCTTTGAAATGTCCCTGTCAGTCTGCTCACAGAGAGCCCCAGCCGCACACTAACCTGTCCAGCACCAGCTCCTCCAGCTTGTGCAGGTCACAGGCGATGTACTCCAGGGCCATGTCGGTGATGCGGGGGCACCAGGACAGGTCCAGGCTGCGGAGCTTCCTCAGGTTCTCAGCCACAAGCTCTACGCCGTCGTCTGTGATCTTGGAGCAGCCGGACAGGCTGAGGGCCGTCAGGTTGGGCAGGCTGTGCACCATGTTCACCACCCCGTGGTTGGTGATCTCCCAGCAGGAGTGGAGCCGCAGGGTGTGGGTGGTGTAGCCCTGCAGGCGGAGGTTAGTTTAGGTTAGTTCAAATAAAGCTCATTGAAGGCAATATGGAGCAGCTTCATTATGACCCATCACACTAAGTGTAAATCCAGTGGAGTAAAGTGACTAAGTACATATACTACTCAAGTATATATACTTCAGGTTAAATAATTTTACTTTTCACATTATTGTACTTTATACCTTTACTAAACTTCATTCTGTAGAAAATGTTGTTCTTTTTACTCTCTTCATTTTTTATATGTAGGCTACTAGAGTATTGCCATATAATATACTTATATATAAATTGTATAAAGTAATTCAAGTAAACCCAGATTTACCAGGTGCAACATAAATTAATAATTATAATACAATCATTTAAAAAGTATGGTGATCTAATGCGCCTTCAGCAGAAAAAGTGCTTTTACTTTTGATACTTAAAGTATAATTTGATGCAAATACTTTTATTAGCATCAAATTATACTTTTAATACCTTTACTTTTACTTAAGTAACATTTTGAATAGTGGACTTTTACTTGTCACTGAGTATTTTTACACTGTAGTATTGCTTCTTTACGTACATCTGAGTACTTCTTCCACCTCTGTGTAGTTCCACACTGGACAAAAATCCAACTGTTTTTGGTGGAGGCCGCCATGGCAATGCTAACTCTCAGGTCAGTCAGCACTGCAGCACTCTATGTCTACGAGTTAGTGTGACTGCAACATCACCAGTTCCTCTCCCAGTGGGTTAGCTAGGATCATTATTCAGTGGTGAAAAAAGTATTCAGATTCTTTACTTGACTAAAAGTACTAATACCACACCTGAAAAAAACTAAATTTAAGTAAAAGTACTGCATGGAGAATAGTACTTAAGTAAAAGTATTTAAGTAAAGTACAGGGAGTAAAGGTTCTCATTGCAGAAACATTTAAAAATAATAATATTTGAAAGCAAAAGCAGCAAATCTATACGTTGAACTGTGAAATATTTTTGAACAAAAAACGTCTTAACAAAATTGCTGCCAATTAATGTTCTGTTCCCCACTCATGGTTTTAGTTGCTTAAATATAATGTTGGATGGTTTAATCTTTACCAACAGTTTCTCCCTAAATAATGCGTGTCAAACTCGGAATTTCTAAAGTAACTAGTAACTAAATCTGTAAATGAAATGTAGTGGAATAACAGTGCAGCTTTTGCTTCCAAATGAGGTAGAGTAGAAGTATAAAGTAGTATAAAATGAAAATACTCAGTTGAAGTTAAATTACTTAAGTACAGTACTTGAGTAAATGTATTTAGTTACTTTCCATCACTGTAATTGTGATAGGGGTGGATGTTTGGATAGGTATAGTTATTCATCTTTAAAACAGATCCCTTGATGAACACAGGTCTCAGTGAGTGGATGTGATCAGTAGCTCTCTCTACCTGCTTGGCGGTGAAGTAGGCCATGGCGGTGTCGGTCACATGGTAGGCCTGCAGGCTGAGCTCGGACAGGTTGGGCAGCAGCTGAGAGATGGCAGCGATGGCGTCGTCCGCCACGTTGATGCAGTCGCTGACGCTGAGCGAGGTGAGGCGGGCGTTCAGGCTGGACCACAGCCCGGCCTCCGTGAAGTCGTTACAGCCCGACAGCTCCAGGTGCATCAGGCCCTGCATCTGCTCCAACATCACCTGGACACAAGATCAAATACTCAGTGACGGAGACTTGCTGGCGGGAGAGAGACGGTACCTGGCCAATCAGAGAAGCTGCAGAGGTCTGGGTTTTAGTCAGGGGGGAAATAGTTGTCTTCCAATGGTACGGTCAGGGGTCACCTCTGTTATCTAGCTTCTACCACTCTGTCCAATTATCCAGAGTCAGCACATAAAGAAAGATTCGGTTAAGCTTTAACTTTGAAATATAAAGAGGAAATGTTAAATGTATGGTCGTTTAACATCAATTGCAAACAATGTACTAAATAGATGAATGAGACAGTGATGGATGTGAGAACAGAGCAGCAGAGCTGTGAGTGTGACAGGATTCAGTCATTATACTGATACAGAGCATTCTTCTCAATGTAACATGTGAGCTGTTCTAGTACAGTGTGTTTTGGTAACAGAACATGTTGCATCTGAACACACAATGATGTATTCCTCTAATGTCATCATCTTTTAGATCTTTCTGTCATTTATTATCAAATGACCCTCAGTCAGATACATAACACATCATTGGCTCTGGCCTGTGTCTGGCCTGACTCAGAAACTGCTGGAATAACATTTTCATTATTTGCAATAAATAGTTTTTGTAAAAAGAAGCCGGATTAAATAACATTTGTATTTAAACACTTTGAGTATACTCTCTGAGCACGGACACCTATTCTACAATACTATCAAACTAAAGCCTACATTTATTTTAGAATACTATTTTTATTTTGCTTTAATTCTTCACAAATGGAATTCTCCAGTTTAAGATGCAACAAAACGGTAGTGCACACGCTGAACCCTGCAAAAGGGAAGTCCATATATATACTGTAGATCATGCAGCTTTCACCATGGCAACCATCCACTCATCCCAGAATAGCAGCCTAGCCTAGCAGGTATGAAGGGCCATCTGAGAAACACTATCAAGCCTCTGTGTTTCCAGCAATCGAATATGAAAGCATTCATTCAGAGACTATTAGAACAAAGCTGAACCAAAACTCTGACTGACTGACTGTCTGTCTTCCTCTGACCCCCCCACTAGTGAAGACCTGACCTGGAGATCAGTTCATATTGTGTTGAAATAACCTATTGAATTATATCTTATTGGCTCATAAGGAACATTTTTCAACAGCTGTGAATCCATTATTAAAACAATCTCTCACGGTTTGTGTTCATACTAACACTTTTTAAATCATAAGGTGATTTCTTCTTCTCTTGCAATACATGTATATCTTGGCTCGGTGACACTCAAAACAATATTTTAGGTCTATACTGAAAAAACTGAAAGGTTGAATGTAATTAAATGTATTATGTAAGCAGATTTCCCATAACTATATTAGGTTAGTTGAAAGCAATAATATTAAGTTGAAATACAAATGATCAGGTTCAACTTATTATTATTGCTTCCAAACTAACCTAATTACTAACCAACGAAATCTGTTGACATAATACACTTCCTATGAAATCAACGTTTCAGTTTTGTTTGTAAGAAGAAACAGAGGCTTGTTTAGAAAGTGAAGAGAAACAGGCAAAGTGAAAGATAATTGACACAAATTAAGTAATAAAGTATGGAGCATGAGTGAAGAGTTTCTGTGTGAACAAGTGAAGCTATAGGGCAGCATAGAGACATGATGGAAGAATTGCCAGAGCACTAATCTGTTACCAACTGCAGTATGGATTCACTAAACAGATGTGTTCTTTCAGAGCAATAATAAGCTGGTACCTGTCATGGCTGTCATTTCTCTCATGTTACTGTTTGTACAGTGTAAGAGTATTTTCTTTAAAACTGCCTTTTTCTGCAGTCAAGTCTTAGTGGTCATTTCACCTCTCTGTGCCTTTGTACCATAGCACTGAGAGAGGTAGGTGAGTTTACTTAAGGTTATTGTTGTTAATTCCAACAGATGGCCTATTATCTATTTATGGTGTAGATACTCTCACAGATATGTTCTGCTCAATGTCTATTTAAACATTTGTTTAACACATTTTCAAACATCAGACCCCATAGAGTAAATAGAAATGATACAACATTTTCAAGTTTGCAGTTGCAGTAGAAAGCAGGACATATATTTATCTCCTCCAATAAGAAGAATATTTTGGTTCTGTTCAAGTGTTCCTGACCAGGGCTGCCACTGTTGCTATTTATATATAGTCTATGCTGAGGCCTCGCAGAACAACTGAAATGTTGACTTTAATTAAATGTATAATATCAACAGATTTCACATAACTGTGTTAGGTTAGTTCAAAGTAATACTATTAACTTGAACTTAATATTTTGTATTTAAACTTCATAGTATTGCTTTCAACTGACCTAACAGTTACGTGAAATCTCTTGACATACATACATATATACTCTTTATATACATATATATACATAATACATTTAATTCAAGTTTCAGTTTCTCCAGTGCATGTTCCTGAGACTGCAAGAGGGAATAACATCCCATTAACCTCTTCCCGTCCGGACTCACCTCCAGCCCTGCGTCGGTGATGGTGGACCTCTTCAGGCTGACGGAGCGGACCCCCTTCTTGGACAGCGGGTAGTTGTCGATGAACTCACAAATGTCCAGGTCTGAGACGCCCACCAGGCAGAAAGACTGGAAGCCCCGCAGAGCGAAGGCCTGCAGGCTGACGAACTCCTTCTCCCCGCTGGGTAGCAGGGTGTACAGCTCCTTGGCGTGCAGGATGGGGGTCACCCCCTCCCAGAACTTGGGCTGGTACAGCACCTTGCGCCATGTCTTGCAGACCTGCGCCAGCATGCACTTCTCGGCCGTGGTGAAGTACCAGAGCAGCTGGTTCAGCAGCTTCTCGTCCAGCACCAGCTGGCGCTCCAGCAGCAGGGGCTTGGGGAGGGTGAGGGGGGGCAGCTGACGGAGGGACGGCTTCAGGCCCACCAGAGGCTTCCCGGGCTCCATGTCCAGCAGAGAGGAGGCTGGGTGGGGCAGGCCGGGGCCGTCCAGGTGGTGGTGGTGCTGGTAGGGCAGGGAGGAGGGCGGGGGGGGCAGGATGGAGGGTACCGAGGAGGACTGGCACAGGCGGTTCTTGGCGGCGGGGGTCCCCTTGGTGATGCTGGCGCTGCCCAGGCCGTTGGGCTGGCTGGGGGGGAGCTTCACCATGCCGTTACGAGTCACACAGGGAGACTTCAGCTCGCTGGGGGAGGACATGTTCAACATCGGGAACCTGGGGGGTAGAGGAGAGAGCTGTTACAAACTGAGAACATCTGGACCAGGACTTATTAAGAGGAGGGGGGGGTGCTTTGGCACTATGACAACACTAATAATATACAACCTAACATGTAGCTTCCTATCAATGACATCGCAGAGAGGCTCTGTGATTCATCCAATCAGATGTGCCCTTCTATAATGTAACCAATAATGAGGAGCCAGCATTACTCCCTGTTCTTATAGGTGTGAAGAATACACTAGGTTGTAACTGTGGTGCACAACTGATCTAAAAACAGCTGGCTTACATTATTTTGTAATGTTATCAGTTTAGCAAAAAGCTGTTACTCATTCTGATCATGTGTTCAATGTGAAGCTGTTGTTTCCATTCATAACACACGGAGGCGTGTGCCGCAGTGGATAGAGCCTTGGTGTTGGGATTCAAACCCCACTGCAGTCAGCATGTCGTTGTGTCCCTGAGACACTTCACTCCAAATTGCTCCTGTGGGGATTGTCCACAGTATTGAGTATGTAAGTCGCTTTGGATAAAAGCATCTAACAAGTAACATGTAATGTAATAACAGTTCAAAGGGGTCTAGATATTGAGTTCTTCAAATAAAAACTTTGTATGTATGATTATTTGATCCACCCTTTTTCTATTGTTAACTTTTGTGCAATATAAAGAATCATACGATTCTAATGTTACCCAAGTTGTAGTCTAGTAGAAATATGTATCCCTAGGCAAAATGAAGAGATATTTCTGCCTTGTCTGATAATAGAACTTCATTTTTTTAAATTGTATTTGACCTTGTAGGGTTATGGTCAAATGAAATGATGTTCTTATAAATAAGCTAATTCTTGCCATATTATCTGCCAAGAGAACTCTTACTTTATATTCTTTGTTATCCATCTGTCACGGTTTGTGAAACAAGCAGGACCCAAATGCAGCTATAAACTGAAACTTCCTTTATTTCAAGGCTATGAGATATATGTACAATGACAAACAGAACACTCACCGCAGAACTAGTCAGGGAACAAGACGAACCGACCAAGCCAGACAGACAACCCAGAACTTAAATACACACAAGACTCAATCACACAACAAGACACAGGTGAGGAGGGAGGAGAAAACACAGGGGCCCAGGTGAACATAATCAGACAATTAGACACACCAGGGAAACTAATGACAAGAGGAAACACAGGGAAAAGGACCAGACAATAACCCAAAGGACAACATGACATGGAAAAACAGCAAAAACACCCAAACCTACAAAACTATAATCGTGACATAACATGAGAATCGTGACATAACCCCCCCCTCAAGGGACGGATTCCAGACGTCCCAAAAAAACAAAAGTCCAGCAGGGTGGGTGGAGGGGGTCTGGAGGACGGGTCTCGGGCGGACGGCCCGGGGGCAAGGCAGAGTTCAAAAAAGGGGAATTCGGGCGGACGGCCCGGGGGCAATGCA